GCCCGCATGCCCACTGGGTTTGAGCCTTGGGCCTCTGGGGTGGCAGCAAAGTACTTTAATTATTGTGCCACCAGAAAGGTAGTTCAAACCCGAACAAGTGTCCATTCTGACGGCCGGGCAGAGTGGAGACAGTCCATCTTCCACGGAGGGGACAGAAGTACTGGCCCAAGCGAAGCTCGAACCCCGACGGACAACAGGCTCGGCTCTTCAAGAGCCCCTCTGGGAGGGACTCCTGGGAGACAGGCGGGTGTTGCTGAAGGAAGCCCAATGGCGGCCAGCGTGTGGGGACACCTCGTGGTCCTGGGAACAGCCTGAACGGACTAAACCAGGGGGTCTGAGGACGGTGACTTACTGCTGTGTGAGAGCCTCCTCAGGTTAAGAAACTGCACCTTGCACCCAGTTCTCACATGCACACACACAGCCCGCCACGAGCAGTTCTACCCAGCACCAGTGCGTGCCCCTTAAGTTGGGGTCGACCCCATAGCGCCTGCTTGGTTTCTATGCATACAAATGGCCTGCTCTGCGTCCTGAGAACCCCCATTCTGGAAAGATGCACCCCAACACGCCACCAGACTGTGAAGGGGTTGGCGGCGGGCCCACAGTTAATAACCCCGCTCCGAGACCGGGCTCAGCTCTCCACGTAGAGAAAATGTCACGAAAGCTCCCGCAGCGCGCCTCCTGCGCGGGTGGGGGGTGGGCACCTCTGATGTCCCTCCCCCGGGGTCTGGGGCGGCCGAGGGAGGGAAGGGGCGGGCGGGCGAGGCGGCTGCGCACGCGCGTTCCCCAGGCGCAGTTTCCTGCTGCCATGGCAACGGGCTCTCGGCTTCCTGCGCATCTTGCCGCCTGGCCTTGGACCGGCCGAGTCTGGCGTCAGCAATCAGACACCACACACACACACACACACACACACACACACACAGGGCCAGCCCCCTCCCAGGACCTGGCAGCAGCCGCGGCACCCATGGAGTAAATGGAGATGAGTCACCTCCCAGAAGCAGGCTTCACCCGGAGACCCATGGGCAGGCTGTGGCCGGGTCTCTGGCTTCCTGCTTATCAGGGACCAGCTGCCAAGTGACCACACTGGCTCTGCCCAGGTCTCCTCTGCCCGCTCTGACAGAAAGGCAGGTTCCCAGTCCTGGGGACGGCCACCTCGGCCCTGCAGCTGGCGCCTCTGATGGAGGTGCGGCACACTCAGCCACATTTTCTCATTTAGTGACTAATCAAATGGTTTCGTTTTGAGCGGATTTCCGGTTGTTTCTGAAGAGGTTTGTCTTGCTCCTGCTGTGGGCGCCAGGAGGCAAGCATTTTCTGTACTCGGGAGTCACTAGAGAGCAGGGTCGGGGGGACCCCCATCCCAGGCGGTGATCCCTGCTGGGCCAGCACTTGAGATCTGGCCCCAAGAGGCACCCCATGTTTGA